ATTATAACACCTCAGATTATTATTTTTTCTATTTAAAATTAGTCATCAGAATTAAGCCGAATCACATAATTGAAAGATGCAACTGAAATATAATGGCCTGCTTTTTAGTAATACTATATAACATATGGCCACATAGATATATGGCTTTTAGAAGCTGATATTAATTATAATTACACCTCCAAGAAAACTATTAACCAATCATGTCACTGTCATAGATCCACCCCAAATCCAGAAAAACCAGTTTGAGGGATGAAATGCGGGACATATGCTATTCTTAGGGAAATAAAGATTTTGAGATGCACATCACATGAAATTATATCATCTGGGAGAAATAGGAAATAGTTAGAGAGTGAATACCCTCTGGAGTGTATTCATGTATTCATTCATCTTTAGATTGGCTCTCCACAGCTTTAAAGATCTGGTTCTCAATAATTTCAGGAGCAAGAAGAAAACTCCCAATCTCATTTTCTTTCTACATTATCATAGCTCTCTCCTCAGTGTACCAAATATGGGCCTCAGTCCCAGTTACCCTTCAGAGATGTTGCTAGATACATAGGCTGCCAGTAGATATTTTTTAACTTTATACTTTTAGCATCATTATTTAGTCTTTCCTTTTTTCCGGAACTGAGTTAATAAGCATGTTTTCAAGATAGCAGAGAAATCAGGCAACTTCTTCAGTACTTGGCTGGAGCAGCAAGCCAAGCAAAAATATATCATTGCAATTTTTATTTTGGCTGTGTGCATACAATTCATTCCGTAGGAAAACATCCACAGCCAAAAATGTTGTTGAGATGCAGGACAGGAAAAAATGAAGAGATGCATCATTCTAAATAGAAGATGATGGTGGGGTTTTTGCAGAAGAGAACCAGTTTATCTGAGCATCAGTTTGGAATTTTGACAGCAGCAATCTTTAAAGGTTGTAAATTCCGTGTAAAAGTAAATACTGTATATGACAGGGGAAAGAGAATGTTGCAATCAAATGCTTTGTCCCACACACACCCAGAGTCGATCCTGATTTTTTTCTCCAGTAAACCTGTCACTTCCTGTCCTTCTGAATTAACCAGCTGAAGCCACAATAAAATGTTTCTATCCAGATGCCATTCAACATCATCAGCATCTTCGCCTACTGAAATATAAATCTTTTGGTCACCCTTCTTTCCCACATTTCATAACAGGGATACAGTAAAGTACTGCAGATAACAGATATACTGGTAGTCATTTAATCCAACTCCCCCTCCCCAGATTCAAGCAGGAGACCCTACACCATTTCTGACAAATGGCAGTCTAATCTCTTGCAGCAGAGAGCAACTCCATTTTCTTCTGCAATGGTTTTTTTTAAAGCTTGCATCTCCAGGTTGCCAGGAAGCCACCCACCCCTAACCAAATTCCATTTGCTTTTTTTATTCCCCCCCTGCAAAGCAACCCGACTCAGCCACCTGTTTCTTGAGCCTATTCTTCCCTTTCCATCACTTTGCAAAGTCTGAACCACACTGAATCAGAGCATCCGATTTCTTCATTCGTATGTATGTATGTATGTATGTATGTATGTATGTATGTATGTGTGTATGTATGTATGTATGTATTTAGTGTCACAACCCCTGGTATGCCCAGATATGGGAGGAAGTC